AGAGTAAAGTCAATGCTCTTCTATTCAAGCTTTTCATTTAACTTTTCTTTGCAGTTATTGAAACTCATGGTATGTTGGGAGAAAATAAGTTATTAAACTTGATCACCCTACTGAATCCGAGTATCTTATAACATGAAACAGACAACCAAATGATATCCTAAACATGAAAAGGTTTCAGAAAAATTCTTAATACTTTTCATGAAAACAAAATGTCTTTTTCTAAGGCTTCTACAGTGTTGACAAGGCAATATAAGATGATATTTTGATCTGCCTGGGGATTGCGTTTGGAAAAGACCATGTTTATTCATGTACGTCGGATTGGATGAGCAGGGTTTCCCAATACAAATCAGGAGCTGGCAGGTTTTTGTCTCCGGCACTGATTGGGTTTTCAGCGAATCAATCCTATACCCCGACCCTCCAGATCTGATAAATCACACCACAGCTGATCCATCATAGATTAACAGGATATGGCCACTGTTCTTCACGATGGAAAGGAGATTTTATGCAACAGTATCCAATTTTGGACACGTATATACGACTTACATTTCTAAGTGGAAAATTGGCAGGATTTATACAGAATATCAAAGTTTGATGGTTCAGAGAAAAATAAGTACAAAAGTTGGAGGCTTTGTAAGAGGCAAATAAAGTTCTAAGCCTTTATCCTATTTACAATGGCATTTGACTTTTACATCAGTTAAATATTTCATCATCCCTTTACTAGTTAGCTTTAAACTGCAAAGAGAATACAAGATGAGGTGCTACCTTTGACTGAAAACAAACTTGGTGACCCCAAATGATGCAATTCAGCAAAGGCAATAAAAAAGGCTATCATGCAATATTACTTCTCTGGGCTACTATAGCCATATGTGTTAAGTTTCTACTAGAAGTCTATTTTAAATTAGACTGCATGAGCTCTACTAGTTTATAGTTATGAGTTGAAGTTAAATGCTTTTTTATTTTCAATTTTTCATTTTATATTCAGAATTAATTAAGTGCCCAGGTGAAGTAAAAACTTTTAATCCATTTGTCATAGCTTTAACTTTTAATTCATTAAAATGAATTCTCAATTTGATGAAAAAAATATATCATTGTAACATTGCTCTATAAAAACCTCGTAAAAGATCATAAAAGTTTTTGTCAAAGACTTTGGATCTGTAACATTCCAGTTAATGTTAGATGACAGAGCGTGCATAGACAACATTAATCATTGGTGATGAGAGCAGGCTAACAGCTTTAAACAAAGCACTTATATCTCAGCCTTTAAGCATACTGCATATAATGTAAAGTACGCATCACTTCATTCTGACCATTAGTACCTAATCATGTTTACAGCAAAGAAGGACTAAGATGACAGTTTGCTCTCATCGTCGCGGGTCAAATTTATCACATCCCCTTCCCACATGCACTGAGTCTCATCTCCTATTGCTGCAGTTTAAAGATTTAGTCAAAGGGAAATGTTGCACTTTGAAGGTCTTCCTGTGATCTTCCTTAACCTTCCATTTGAAGACATTTAAACGTTATTGTTGAGCCGTCATTAAAGACCAGCTCTGATGAACAATAATTGCATCTTGTTTCAAACTGCAACTTCATCAAAGCTGAATTTATAGATCAAAGCTATAAAAAAGCACTGAAAAAGATAATTCAATAATTCTCTGTACTCTTTAGCAAGAAACAATAGACCTTACTTTTCAGAGATTCTTATGACTTTCAAAACAGTGACCTTCTGAATTTTCTTCCAATATGAGTGTCAACATTAATTTGAAATTAGCAATTAAAACTTCAAAAAAAGTGAATTCCACCATGAAATTTAAATCTGCACATTATCTGTTTGTGGCACAATCTCAAAAACATGACAAGGTCAAAATTTGACAGTTTGCCCTTGACCTGATTGAGAATCAACCTGATTTGACCTAGCTTTGGAGGGGAGGTCAACATTACCGCTACATTGCCAAAAATATCAACTCTCTCTTCTACCGCTACATTTTTCAATTTTCGACCGATCATTACCGCTACATTTTTTTTTTTACATACCTGCCAAAAAGTTGACAACTCATTACCGCTATATATATAAATCAGCCCAAAACAACTCATTAATAACGCTACCTTTCGATTTAGCCAGGTATGGTTCGGGATATGAGTTTTAATCAACAGAATTTACTCACTATATAATCAAAATGAGTATATTTATATAAATAACTCTGCAGTCGAAATTTAATTATTTAGCGTCATCTGAACATTATGACCACAATTGAAAAGTTTGTTACAAATCGAGGGAATGCCGGCTTACTTATCAATGGTTATAAATTTAGAAAACAACATGTGAAGCAAATGGCTTTCAAGGCTTTAGCGATAGTATAAAAACATTTGACAAACCTTAGAATTTTATCTATGAAACAGTGCTTGATTTTAATTTTTTGTGCTTTATGAAATAAAATTGATTTTAATAATAAAAAAAAACTCATCCTATTCAAATTTCTACTTTCATCTCCCCGTGGTGAGCAGGGAAAACGGGTCTTATGCATTTATAGGTTGTACTGTACACTCATATGTGGCTGGCTAGCGAAAGAGGCAATGTAGCGGTAAGGTATACTTTTTTATGTAGCGGTAATGTAAGGTTTTTTGTAGCGGTAATGACTATGTAGCAGTAATGAAAATTTTGAAAATGTAGCGGTAATGATACGCACCCCCTTTGGAGTAAGTTTACCTATTATATAAGGTGCTGTAATATTAGTTACAAGCTCTGCCTTCTGAGATTACACACCTCTGATATAATTTCCCTGAGATAACTTTGTATCTCATAAATAAATGAATATTTATCTCATAAAAAGATAATTTCTGTAAATTTCACTGACATGTTTTGTTCATTTTCTCTGCTTGATGAGCAGCACAAAGAAAGTAAAGTTCCCTTTCTGAAATATAATTTGGAAAGTATTTTTATATCTTAAAAAGAAGTGGATTTTATGCCTACTGAAATTTTTAAATGGGAAGACATTTGAAACATTTAGGATATGAGCATATTGTTTAAAATATTTCATATTATAATTTCGAAGCAGTTATTTTTGTTTAAGTACTGACATTATAAATGACCATGTCCTCTGATATCTTAGTTACTTTCAGGGGAATTGTTAAACACCCACTCCATTCCCAGCATCAGGTGTCATAGCACCTCAAATTCAATTTTCAAACAGAGCTACAATCGATGTCATTTAATAATATCTATAAGGCCAGCATTTTTTTATTTTTAGGTTTACGAACATCAGAATGAAAAAGTCCTGTAGGAGGAGGAAATAAAAAAAAAAATAAAATTATATTTTGGATACATTATCGACTTTTCTACATTAATTTTTGCTTCTTTTTTCATGCTCTCCTAACAGGCTTCTTGCCACTGGACACATAAGGGTTACAAAGGGGAAAATACAACCTTTAATTGTTTATTTCATCATCTACCAGTTGGGGGCAGTGACATAAATCTTTTGATGTTGCATGGACAAAATACAGATTTTTTAAAACAAAAAATCAATTTTTTAAATCTCTTTTAAAATATCTTCATTTTTGTTTTTAATGCGTGTTAGGTAGAAATTAATCTAAAATATTAATTTACTCTAGACCTATAAAAGTAATAATTCCTTTCATAAAACAGACAGGGAGTATTCCCAAGGAGTATTGAGGAGTAGGGAGGAATTTTTTTCAATTAAGTGTAAAATAATTTTTCGGGCCGCCATAAACGATACTATATGCCTGTATATATTTGTATATTCTTGTTTTTAAATAGTTGAAATATTTCATTTCTTTAGGCTATTGTTTATTTCTTCCTCAAATGGATTTAACTTCTCCCATAGTTTTATTCATTACATCTGATGCATAAGCGACCCTTTTCTGAAGAATGATGCTAAGACTGTAAGCTATGACAGAAACATAAACAATGTCTCTGACAATAGCTACCATGGGCAGTTTTAAACCTGTGGGAGGAAAATAATTTACAATTACAGACACAGTTACTTTTGAATACGGATACATAATTATCTCACCAACATGTCACTTTGCAACAAAGTCGTCAGCATTTTATTGTTCTCTGAACGGGTGAAACGTTTTGAATGGCACTCCTACCGATAAATATTTACATTAAATCAAGCTTTAGTGCTGCTATGGACTTGACACAAATCTCCAATCTCCCATGCAGAGTTGTCGTTCGTCCCTCTCTCAGACACCTCTGCAATGGGCTCACGTCAAGATTTTTGACATAACGTATAAAACGTGATATTTGCGAGATTATTTCAAATTAAATTAATATTTCTGGATTTATTTAGTAAATATCTATCTCAAAACTCAGACATAAGCATAGAAATTGAATTATAATGAATTAAAACAAACGCACTATTTCTCGTGTTTATCACTGTGATATACGCGAGCCAACGACAGAGGTGAATGTATGAGCCGATGGTAGAGAGTGACAAATCTCCCTTCATTACCCAATACCCGCCATGTTCAATTTAAAACCGGAAGTACGAGTTCGTAAATTTGAAATCTCGATCCCGACTCAAATTTGACATCGGAAAGAAAAAAATCTGTTTTTCTCAATTTTATTTTTTTTCTGAAAATGCAAAAACTTCAGCGGCGGGTTTGTAAACCTAAAAATAAAAAAAATGCTGGCCTAAGACTGACTTTTTAATTATATTAACCAGACTTTTGAGCAGGAAGAAGATAATTAAATGACCTTGACCTCTCCCTTTACCCTCTTTGGCTCCCCTGGCTAGAAAATCATGCATTCTATTCTTCTTTCATTATTTTTTTTTTCAAATGAACATAGCAGATATTTATAGATTTCCATTAAATTTCAGATGATATAAAGTTCGAGTCTGTTCTAGAAGATTACATTATATGTTGTAATTGATGTTATAGTTATACAAATCTTTGGAAAATTGTGATGTCTTTACATAATCTCTAATGGCATTACAGTATGTACTTATTAACTACATTGTCCACAGAGAGTTCATACTCACATCTTGTCTTCTTTGGTGGAGCATCATATGGAATATCTGTAGAAAAATGTAAATAAATCATTATTCTTGAAAAAAAACTTTTCATGCAAATACTTTTTTTTCTTTAAGACATAGATTGATTATATAAGTGATATCATTATTAAGTTAATGCACAGATATTGTACTATGTGTGTCAAAACAAGACATGGATTCTAAACTAAGATTCTGCATTTGACTTTTTACTTGTCTATCCATTTATAGATCAGTGTTAGGTACTGATGTTCAACCATAATATTTAGTACTATACGGTTCACTGCCCTGATGTTGTTACTTATATGGACAAATTAATTAACAACCAAAGTGAATACACCTGTCTTCAAATATGAATATAATTTACATCCACTGAATATTTTTCCTTTTTTTCTTAATATGAAGACCATGCATTGCCATTAATCAGTGCATGAATGACATTAAGCAAGCCAGGTGCATAGATTTTTGAACAATGGCTGTTCCATCAGTTATGCATACAATGACACATTCATCTATAGTATAATATTCAACATGTTAAATTTTACTTTGAATGTTTCTTCATACAGATGTAAATATAAGCAACAAAATGTCTTTGTTAGTACGACAATTAACGTCGCAGCTGTTGCAGAAAAAAATTACATAACGCGGGTTATGTATTTTTTCTGTAACAGCTGCAACGTTAATTCCCCTACTAACAACCAAAGAAAGCATTTTAATATTTAAAAAAAAGACATTGAGACATAATCTTTAGATTTACAGTAAATGGATTTATACAATTGTCAGTTTCTTTTTTTGTCCCCCGCTTGAAAAGTGGGGGATATTAATTTGGGTTTGTCCGTCCGTCCGTCCGTCTTTCTGTCTGTCTGTAACGCTTTCGTTTCCACACGATATCTCGAGAACCCTTTGAGCTTTTGCAATGAAATTTAGCATAGGAACTCCCTGTGGACTAAAGAAGACCCCTATTGATTTTGAGGTCAAAAGGTCAAAGGTCAAGGTCATAAATAAGCAAATTCTGTCTGTTAAAACACCTTCGTTTCCACACGATATCTCTAGAACCATTTGAGCTATTGCAATGAAATTTTATATAACAACTCCCTGTGGCCTAATGAAGACCCCTATTGATTTTGAGGTCAAAAGGTCAAAGGTCAAGGTCGTAAATTTATACATTCTGTCTGTGTGAAATACTATTATTTCCGGGCGATATTTCAAGAAGATTTTGAGCTTATGCAATGCAATTTTATATCAAAACTCCCTAGGACGTCTCTCGCCCCTCTCTAAGTGCCCCGCCCCGTTTGTTTTATTAGTATTGATAGTATTACATGTCGCTATTTTTAGCGCAGGGGCATGAGGAGAGTTATTGCGTATACAACAGGTTCTCGGCGGACTTTATGTTCTTATTACATCTATTAGAACTGTTTAATAAAGGCTAAATAAATCAAACACCATTGATTGTGTAAAATTTTGAGATATACCGAACATGAAAACATGAATATATATATGTATGTGACTTCACTTCTGCATATACTTCACCCCGTGTAAAGCGTTTCTGTGGTCTAGTGGTTATGTCTCTCGCTTTAAGTGTGAGAGGTCCCGGGATCGAATCTCGGTCGTACCTTTCTTTTTTTTCTTTTTTTTTAAAAATACTTTTTTTCTTTTTTTTTTTTTTTTACTAAATGATAGTATTCAGCATGTGAAATGAAAAATTTATGAGGTTATAAAATCATCATTACAGTGTGATAAAAATTCCATATAAAAAAATCTTCTATACACATAATGAAGAATAAGCAATCAAATCTTTATATGCATACTGACATACATGTATTTTATTTGCTTCAGTATACATGTATACATTTAATAATTCTAAATTCTACAAATTCAGTCAGGGGGAGCCGACTTTTTCCCTAAGCGGGGGACACGAATTCTCTGAATTAGCTTGTTTTCATTACTCCCAAAATCTTTTGGTTTTTTTTATATTTATAGGCTAAATTCTTCCTTTTTTTTTTTGACAGATATTTAAACAGAATTAACTCTAGTGCAGCCCGAATTAAAGTTCAACTTCTTTTATACACATAGTATACATATATCCAATATAAAGGAGACAGAACCATGTAATATTTCCTGCACACCCAAGTTATTATCTAACCCAATAAGGTGAATTATTATGTATCATTGTGAAACAATGAAGTCCCCTGTGTGGAGCATCACAATACAGATATTCCAGTTCACGTAATTACTTATTGATCAAGTTGATGTGGGGCCGGTCGCTAACTGTTCAGGCCTTCGCTCTGCCAACTCTATCATTAAAATTCATATTTGATGTAATTCTTTTTACCATTTTCTGCTAACTGTGCCAGATTTATGAGATATTTATTGTATTTTTTCCTCCATTACCTTCAAAGGGAGAAAGAAATCATCACATCTGCTTCCTATCTCTAATGGAGGCTGAGAGAAACCAACAAGTATGGAAGTACACCAATATAAGTACCGACTCATCATCATCAAGCCTTGTCAGTTCTCAATATTAAATATATACATTTGTGGTATCTCTCCATTATATAAACATACAGAGAGAAAATATCTTCAATTCTATATGAAGTTTGTCAGAGGTCAGAGGTCAATACGTGACCTAATCACACGGCGCAATTATATTTACCAGTACATAAATTATAAAATGACCTGCTCTACTTGCTTTTCATGTACAAAAATGAACAAAATAAGCAAGTAAAATGATAATTATTTTATTTACATTGTAAAAAAGTATTTCAGATTGTTGGCTATCGATTCAACCTGTGTACATAGAGAATATATACCGATAGAAACTAGGCCTAGCCTTTGTTTACATTTTTTGTTCACTTTTGTCAGCTGCACAGTCTTTAACGTTCATCCTTATTTTTTGGGTAGACCTTTCGTTAAATTTTCATGATAAACAATTATTTTATCTTTAAATTCTACTCACGATAAATGTGTAAATCTGTTGGAAAATATCATTGCAGTCATGCCATAAACAGCTGCCAAACACCTCAGTGTTTTCGTAGTTCAATGTAAACATGGTAAAGCTGTCGCCAGTGTCTCCGTGTTTATCAGTGTTTTACAATAAGTATGCCTTTAGTTACTGAAATCGTAGAATGTTTTTGATCAAATTGCAAATTAACTGGCTCGGACAAGTGTCTCAATCCATCGGATCCATCCATCCCTTTCCGGCGACCGAAATTCCTCCAACTTTTTATCATCAAACTTCGGACGTGTTTCTTGTCTTTTCAGCATCGATTATCAATTTTCACGAATAAAAATATTCCCAGACAACAATCTGTTCACTATTACTGATCACAAATAGCCTTTCACAAAATATTCCCTTCGAAACAGATTCCTTAGCCTAATGAATTCGAAGCGTAACCGCCATGCAAGCCGATTTACACCTGCGTCATTTTTCAAAATCTACGACGGACGGTTAGTGCAATAATTAAATTTGAAAATATTCAATTGTCTGTCTCAAATGTATATATAAGTAATAAATAACAAGTTTATAAACTTCAATGGGAATTGAAGTGGAGGCTACGTGATCAAATCCTCTGAGAAGGCCTTCGGCCTTCACAGGATTTGATCACGTGACCGACCCACTTCAATTCCCATTGAAGTTTATAAACTTGTTATTTATTTCTTAAATATGTCTCACAATATACTGTATACAGGATTCTTTTTGCCCTTTGTTACACTTGTCCTTTAACGCTTCAAATAACTTTGCCCCACTTTAAAATATAAATGTATTAAACTTAATAATTGGTTTGACTGGTGTAAAGGATGGTCTTAATGGTAGAAATACTAAAATGACTAAGTATCATTGAAGTTTAAGCACAAGTACAAATCTAAGGATCATGGCAAGACTGAGAAATTGTAAATGTAGGCATAATCTCACTGACAGACAGACATACAGACTAAGACATTGCATGCACAGATAGGAAAGTCCATCATCAACTAACTTAGATAAAGGGTGTACAAGAAAAGAGATAAGGTCAGAAAATGGGAATAAGACTGCTTCTTCAAGACAGAAAGACTAGATAGAGAGTCAGACACTAAGGTTAGAGTGTCTCTTCAAGACAGCTAGATAGACAGACAGAGACAGACAGACTGTATGCTAGACAGATAGACAGACAGACAGACAGTATGCCAAACAGATAGATAGACAGAGACAGACAGACAATATGCTAGACAGATAGATAAACAGACAGAGACAGACAGGCAGTATGCTAGACAGATAGATAAACAGAGACAGACAGACAGTATGCTAGACAGATAAACAGACAGTTAGTCTGACAGACAAAATAAACAGAGGGCCAGAGACTGGGAATTAGTGTCTTTGCAAGGCATACATACAAAATAGGTGCAGCAATGAGAGAGTTTAATACAGACAACAAAAACTCAAAGTCACAGATAGACATGCTGATACGCTACATAGGACATTTGTGATCAACAGCATTCTAGCATCTCTGAGTTAACCATATGCTTCATATTACCCTAGGAAAAATGATTTATTAATCAGTTCTGAGTACTTAGTCAACACATCTGTAAAACCATTTGTCTGAGAAGCTATCATTTCATTGATCTGATATTCCATTTTAATTCCTGGCATGTTCCTACCACAGACCAGAATTTATGAAATATCACCACATTTTTTTCCAATACACAACTGGCATACTTCATCAGAGATCATCTCATCTTCAGTGACATTTGCCTCACGTTGGGAAGCATTCAGCCCTGATTCTCAGAGGTTAGAACTGAATACAAAATATCTCCCGCTTTACACGTGGGACTTCCCAGGACGAGGCGAGAATTTATTTCTGTAAAACGTTGTAACATGTCATGACAGTCAGCAGAAATAAAAGAGTTCTCAAGGGAGCTAACTCCTGACTGATCACACTTCTTAATGTTGTGATGTAACAAGGCTTTGATACTGCAATCAGTCACAGTCTAAATGTCAACTCAAATTCTCATCCCAATAAATGTAACAATGCAATTCAAACAAATAAATA